CTATTTCTGAAAAAAATCAAAAGATAAAATTAATGTACTGATCTAGATTTCGTTGTTTCGCTTTCTGGATCGCCCTAAATGAGCTCCCATGAACTGAAAGTGCGCTTCAGAGAATACAAGTAAAACGACAACGACAACATCAGCATGCGGCAACAATGACAACGGCAGCACCAACAATATCAACACCAACACGAGTTCAGTAATAACAACAGCAAAATAGCACCAACCAGAAAATATACCAAATAGAATGAAATACGTCCTTTAAAAAAGTATACTCCTTTCTTAACCGAGTTAACCGCCATTTTGAGACGATCATTTGAAAAGCTGAGCGAAAAAACAAACAAAGAAACAAAAGTCAATGTTTTACTTACTAACAGTACTGTCGACCATGTCTGGAATGACTTCTTTTAGGACCTGACAACTTGTACTGAGAGATGGGTTTACATTGACCTCGATYAGCCAAACCTGATAAATTCAAGAGAAATAAGTATTCAGTACTATCAACTTCTGATTGGATAACGACAATAAGTGAATTTTTCATGTCTTGCAATCTACGTCCAACATTTTTTCATATTTAACTCTTACGTCAAGCATAGTGAAACTATTTTTTCTTAACAAGAATATCTATTGGTCGTATAGCGGCTCTTAGGAGCCTGGAGAAGGCCGAGCGGAGCCCAGTCCCCTTAGAGCCGCTAACGCAGGTTCAAATAACAGTAACTTGTGTCAATTTCAGACTCGTACCCACACTCTTTTTTCTCTGGATCGCCCAAAAGTTCGGACTTCACTTGATGCACCGCGAACCGTAAAACGAGCAAAAGAGACGACTGGGTACGAGTCTGCGTAAATTTGGATCATTGGTCTGTCAGCATCTAATCAAGTCACAACCAAATTTTTTTTTTGCGAACAGAAATGCAAATAACGATTATAATAATTCCATTGAGTGTTGATATCAATGGTTACCTTAAAGTTCTCATCAACCATGAAGTCAAAGCCCAGCAAGTCAAAGAATCCACTTCTCCGATGCAACTTCTTTCGAACGCTGTGAAAACACGTCAACATGATTTGCTGCATTCGTTTCTGAAGAAGAAATGAACAAATGGAAAAATAGTCAACTCAACCACTTGAATGTATACAGAAACAGGGACTCCGTTGTGTTCAGATTGAGTTAAAATTTATTGGTACAGATGGTGGATGTATCAGGAAACAAATTCTTTTTGATGAACGTGCGCCCAAATGGACTACCCTAGAAAGACACTTAGGAATGGACACTACACAAGAAGAATAATGATGGACAAAGCAAGGTTCCAGTGTCTACTAGATTGGATGGACACGCCCTAGTGTAGTAAACCTCCTAAAAGGGATCAATAAGAAGAAGAAGAAGAAGAAATATTGTTGAACTTTACCAACTTACAGTGAATGTTGTGAATACCCAGTTCTCCGGGAGCCCTTTTTCTTTGGTGTGATGCTCGTCGATATAAGATTGGATGCGTTCATATGACCAGACAGTCTCGTCCTTCATACTTGAATACAGGGGATGTTTCTTTTGAATGTACTGAATAAAGACATGAAATATTGACTTAAAAGTGGATAGAAGAAAGAATATTAGCGAAAAGAAATAGTCATTTTAAATTCAGGCCGGCGAAAAAAAGAGACTCTGATATTTCAAAGTTGTGAGAAATTTTCTAAAACCTTTAATACTCCAATTTCGAGTTCTGGCTTGCTCTGTGTTAGCCTCAAAACGAAGTAACATATTCTTTTGTTTCATTGATAGGCCGAGAAAACGCATGGAATTTGAAAAGAAAGACAATAGATTTGATATGAAATCTCACACTTTTATTCTCACAATTACGAATATTTTGCGCACAAATGAGGCTAACACAGAGCATTGGAGAATTCGAAACTGGATTATT